CTCTCTAGCTCTCTGCGCGTTTGCCACGGCGTGTTTTTGACGTTTATGACGAATGATGGTATTGTCGCAGTTGATTTCTGCGTGCGCCAGCTCTAGGTTAAACGCGNTAGTGTGGCGCGGATTTTCATCTAGTACCTATACAGTCAGGTAGGTGGCGCGCGCGTTCCTTCTAGTACCTATCCAATCGGTAGGTTGCGCGCGTGTTCTCTCTACTCGACGTGAGCCAACAGGCCGGAACATTGTGGCAAACTAGAGACACACACCTGCTATTTAGTGTTGTTGTTTTCGCTACGGTGAGGGAGCAGCTGACAGGCGATCGTCAGTGAGATGCAGACAGGTACTTCCTCAGCATTCACAGAGCCCTGAGGAGAAAGATCGGCGCCATCAGAGCGCGAGAGGGACCTGGTGTTAGTCAGGCGAGTTCCGAATTCCTGCAAATCAAGACTAGATCATTATACTGGACCGGTGCGTTGGAATGCCGTAAACCAGAGCGTTAAAACTATTGATTTAACTATAGCTTTAACTAAAGGTTTAACTATAGCTTTAACCAGAGCTTTAACTATATTTTAACTAAAGGTTTAACTATAGCTTTAACCAGAGCTTTAACTATAGCTGTAACTAAAGGTTAGCTATAACTAGAATTATACTTATATCTTAAACTAAATCACGCACAGTGAAGATTTTCTTGACTTTCTCTCTTTCCCTCCCTTCCTCGTCCCCCCTCTCTTTCTCTCTTCCTCTCTCTCACGCTTTCTCTCTTGCTCTCCCTCTCTCTCCCCTTTTCTCGCTCTCCCTCTCTCTGCCCCCTCTCTCCCACCCTCTCTCTCGCACACACGCGGGCGCTCTCTCTCTCTCGTTTTCACTTTCTCTCTCTCTCTCTCTCTCTCTCTCTCTCTCTCTATCTTTCTCGTTCTCACTTTCTCTCGCTGTCAATCTCTCTTTCTTTCTCTCTGCAGCCTCGTTCAGGGACTACCGGCTGCAGAAGCCAATGCTGCGCAGATCTCTGTGTTGAAGTCAGAGCTGCGTAACATCACCGCCTCTCTACAGGGTCTCGAAACATCGCAACCACACACATACAAACTACAGGAGGAGGTATGAGTACAGCG